CTGGCTGGTGGGTAGTAAATGCTCAACCTGCTGACTGGGTGAACTGACGCTTGACTGTGTCTATCTTTTCTGTGCTTTAGGAAGTCCCGCTGGGCCAGGAAGAAGTGTCACTGACATTCCGTGGGGTATCCACATAAATCTTTCCCCGTTTTCTTTTCAAAGGCTTGATTTGGAAGTCAGGTAAGATCTAGAGAAAGCTTCCTGTACTTAGTGGCTTCAAGTTGGAAGGGAGAATGATCACATGACTTCACAGTAAATAACAGAGCCAGAGGCTACATCCCATGCCATCTGGCTCCAGAGACACCGATTCCCACCACACACTTCCTCCCAGTCTCTGGTGCTTCTGCGCGATGACACCCCTAAGACTTTCCAGGCCACAATTTCCCCTCAAGCACTCATGCAGTGGCTTTCCTCCCAGGCCCCGTCTTTCCTCCCCTTTTTCCCCTGCCCCATGTTTGCCAGCGCTTTCCCTGGCTCCTCTGCCGGCTCCTCTGCAGGACTTATTTTTCCTCTCATCTCTTTCCAGATCTTTCAGTTGGTTTCTCTTTCTGGCCACGCTCCTCCTTTTGGAGACTTTCCAACGCAGCCGCAGATTGGAAGATGATAACAGTGAATTAGTTAGTAGCTTGTCTTTGATGTTATTTTGTGGGTGAACTCATTAATTTATGACAAAAACATCAAAGACCCAGGCTCCTGCATGGGACTGGGCTGTCTCAAGGCATCTGGATAATAACGATTAGTCAGATTAAATCTCAAGGCCTTTATGCCTCTAGAGTTACAGCCCAGACAACTGGGGTGTGGGAACATTCCATCCTACAGTGTCTTATCCTAGCCTGAGTTAGCATGATGTGATGCTCTCTTCCTGATAGGCCTTCCGTTCTGATGCCTCCAAGCCTTGAGGGCTATCAAGGCTGTTAGACCTACCCTACAGGCAAAGCAAAGAAGTGGGCTGAGGCTGGTAAGGTCTCTTCTTGCTAAAAAAGTTAGATGTTGAAAGGGACCCCCTGTGCTTGCATCCCTCAAGGCCTCGGCATCCTAGTCCTACAATGTCACTGGAAAGGACTCCTAGGAGCGAGGCAGCATCACACACCGGCTCTCCATCCACCTGTAGGTCGAATGGACTTGTTGCCGTAAGTTGGGGCTCATCTAACTTAGTGCTCATCTTTCTTCACAGTAGAACATCTGATCAGCTTGTACCTGTGGTCACTGGCCTGGGTCCTTCGCCACCAGTGGTAGAAAGCTGGCTGCTCCCTACAGTCCCCCCCCCCCTCTGCGGCATCCCTTCATTTCGCTCTCTGTTGGTCTTCTATGAGCTTGATCCTGCCAGGTGTAGTGACTCATCAGGTCTTTAATCTCAGCACCCTGGAGGCAGAGGCAGGATGATCTTTGTGAGTTCAAGGCCAGTTTGGTCTAGGTAGAATGAACCAGCCAGGATATATAGTGAGACCTTGTCAAAAAAAAAATGGAGGAAAGGTAGGTTTGCTGCTGAAATTGCCTGCTCTTCTCTGAGCCCTTAGTATTTGATGCTTCCCTCTCCTCCTGACTTCCGGTCAGTGCCCATCAAGTTCTAGTGTCTGCATCTTCAAAAAGACCCTTCCTGGGGCTTCTCTCAGACAACCATGCTACTCTCAAGTTTGTTACTTTCTCTCCTCCATTCTAACTCCCAAACTCACTCTAATCAAGAGCACACCACACCCTATCCTACGGGTAGCTCTTTGCAAGGTCACCAGAATTCTCTGATGCCAAGCCAACGGTCAGGCCTCACAGCTTGTCTTGGGCTCGCGGGAGCAACACTGGGCAGTGTGAGTAAGGCTTCCTCCCCAGCCTTCTCTGCTGGCATCCAGGGTGTCTTTCTCTTGCATCTTGGACTCAGTTGCCTCTTTCTAGTCTTTTCTGTCTTGTAGTCTAGAAGTGGTCAACTCAGAATTAGTTCTTTACAGATTTTCTGTCTATACTTCTTCCTTAAATGAACTTAGGTAGTTATTGTTTATTGTGGAGGAGGCTGAGACAAGTTTTCTCTATTATGTAGCTCTGTCTGTCATGAATCTTACTATGTAGACCAGGCTGGCCTTGAACTCATAGAGATCTGCCTGCCTCTGCCTCTTAAGTGCTGTGATTAAAGGTGTCATCACTACGCCGCCTTTGGTTTTAATCCCCATTTGGGTCTGGATAGGTCTAGAAGTTTTATCTCTAACTCTTACCCCTCTCCTAACTCCTAAATGTCTTCTCATCCAGTCTATACTATACACATCAAACTTCAGATCTAATTCAGCAAGCACAAACTGCACCCCTTATCTTCAGGGCTTATTTGGCCTCTACTTTCCCCTCTGTCTCTTCAGCAGGTAGAAGCACTTCTCTTCAGGACGACTCAGGTCTCCACACTGGGATGATTTTGGACTCATTCTAACCATACATTTAAAGCTCTGTACACACTGCCACCACATGACCTTCGATGGTGTCTGGAAAGACTACTCACTACTTCCGGTGTCCTGGGCTACCCTAAGCTGTCTTATCTATCTCTGCTCCTTGAATGAACTAATTTAACTGGTCTCAAAACTTTCAAACTTGCCTTTCCTATAACCCCAGCATCCAAAACAAAATATGCTCTTATGAAAACTTGGCAGTTGGTGATGTTGGTCCTCTGCCAGCTTATGGTCTGCAAAGGAGGCAGGGTACTTAGGGGATGGGCCACACATGGCCTCTAGAGCTTGACTGCCTTTGTCTAAATCCTTCTCCTAGGAGACCTTGGGCATCTGATTCGGTTTCTTCCTTTGCAGAGTGGAAATGGAAGATGACTATAATGTGGATGGGGCTGGGGAGAGGGCTCAGTAGGTAAGGCGTTTGCTGTGCAAGCCTGAAGAACGGAGTTCATATCTCCAAGGTCTACGTAAGAAAAGCCAGATGTGGCATCCCCAATGCTCATATCACCGGTGAGATGGGCTAGCTGGCCTGGTGTGTGCAATGGCAAACAAAAGACCCTCTGGAAAGTGAGGACCCTCAAGTTTGCCCTCTGACCTCCTCACAGGCTCTGTGGCATCAACTCACAACACAAATTTACCACACACACACACACATATACATACACACAGAAAGAGAGATGCAGAGAGGCAGAGAGAAAGAGACAGACAGAGAGAGACAGAGAGAGAGACTTAAACAATTTTAAAAGAACATTTAACTCATAGGGGTTACAAAATAAATATGCAGTGCAGATCATATCATCTGGCACAGTAAGTGAGCCATAAATGTTTGTTATTAAAAATAGAAAGTTCTGGAGGAATTGCTATTAATATCTCTTTTGGGCAACCAACTGTTCTAAAATAGCAGGGTTACTATGGAATTTTAAGAGATGATAATGATATTGTGATTAGATAGGAGGATGTTGTTTTGTTTTTTGAGACAAGGTCTCATGTATCCCTGCCTACCTTAGCCTCCTGAGTGCTGAGATCAAAGGCATATACCAACATGCCTATGAAAGTGATCTTCACCTGAGGGGTTGAATGCTAAAATTCTTAAGGATAAAACTGTAGAACCTACTAATTTCTAATAATCTAGTCCTATCCTTGCTCCTATTTCTATCAATGAAGCAAACAAATCAAATATAAAAATACTATTCTGGAAGCAGATAGTACAGTTTGTGACCCCCTCCCAACCTCTCCTGTATGTTTGGAAATTTTAAAATAAAAATATGAAGGAAGAAGGAAGAATCCTTACTATAGGCTAGTGAAGGCCAATGAGTACATCCTGCAGAAAGAGGACCATAAACTCAGAAGGCAAGACAGTCAGTCACTCAAGGCTGGAGGTCAGGAAGCCTGAACTGGAATCAGGTCTTCTGGCTGGCTCCCCCACGTGTGTGGCTGCTTCTGCTGACCTGTGGCAGCCATGCTGTAGAGAGTGGTACCCAGCTTCCCTCGGAGACAGACCTGGGGGTATTATAGGTGTGTTCAAGGGCATCTATGTTGGGGCTTCCTTACTGCTTATTAAGTAGATAAGCCATTTGATTGGAAGGCCTAAGGCCAGATCACCACTTTGGACAGTGGGCATGCTGGTTTGGCACTCTGCTTGTGGTTTTTGACTAGTGGTGGTAATGGGGGTAATGTTGGAGTGTGTTTAAACTCTGGAATGGCAGAGTGGAGAGAGATGAGTAAGGTGTGGGGCCTAAGGCCAGGAGGAGCACCAAGAAAGGCTGGCTTCCATCTAGAGCTCCTTGTAAGAAGGGACTCCAGGGAAAAGCTGGGGATGAAATATGTTCACGTATTAAAAAAAAACAAAAACGACCCTCTGTGATCGACAGCATCTCCCTCTAGCTAATGGGATTCTAGGAAGTGGAAAGCAGAAAAGAGAGGGGGAAATGTCCACGTTCTTAAGACCAAGTGGTGCTTGGGGAGTGCATAGAGATGAACCAGGCTAGGAGAGAGAGAGAGAGAGAGAGAGAGGGAGAGGGAGAGGGAGAGGGAGAGGGAGTGG